TTTTGTTGTTGTCTCTTTGTGGTCGTTGTGTGTCCCTTTTGTTATTGTCTGTTTGTGGTTGTCTCTTTGTGGTGGTCTTGTGTCTCTTTAGTCCTCTTGTGTCTCTTTGTGGTCGTCTTGTGACTCACTTTAAGATTTCAGCCATTGACACGTTTAAAACCCTGGAGGACAACGCGTGTCTTCTCTGCCTCAGACCTCCAACACCATCGCCTGGGCTCTGTACCAGCTGGCCAAGCAGCCCGAGATCCAAGAGCAGTTGTACCAGGAAGTGATCGGCGTCTGTCCCGGGGACAAGGTGCCAAGCAGCGAGGACATCGCTCAGATGCCGTTGCTGAAGGCCATCATCAGAGAGACGCTCCGGTCAGAGACCTAAATGCTTCCTCACCAAGAGAGACGGGTTTCTGCTGTAAACTCAGTTTACTGAGGGAATAAATCCAGAGAGAAGTAGAGTCATTTCCTCATAGACGTCTATGGGAGCAGAGGAGTCGCCCCCTGCTGGTCACTACAGAGAAGTAGAGTCATTTCCTCATAGACGTCTATGGGAGCAGAGGAGTCGCCCCCTGCTGGTCACTACAGAGAAGTAGAGTCATTTCCTCATAGACGTCTATGGGAGCAGAGGAGTCGCCCCCTGCTGGTCACTACAGAGAAGTAGAGTCATTTCCTCATAGACGTCTATGGGAGCAGAGGAGTCGCCCCCTGCTGGTCACTACAGAGAAGTAGAGTCATTTCCTCATAGACGTCTATGGGAGCAGAGGAGTCGCCCCCTGCTGGTCACTACAGCTTTAACTCGTGAAGGTCTCACTTCACTTTAGAGAAGAGAAACCTGGTCGTAGCCTGAATGGAGACCGATACGATCCATGAATTAAATCTGAAAACAGATCGTTTTGGGAAATTTGTCGGAGCATTTCCTGACAAACTGCACCAGAGGAACTTTAATGAAACGTGAGGATTTCAGGTAGAGAAAGACATGAGAACAAGTTTCCTGTTTTGACGAGGAGGACCCGTCGTAGATGTCCCTCGTCCCTGCGATCAGTCCGAGCGAGACGCTGAAGATGTTCATGTGAGAGTATCTGGTCCTCTGCTTTCACCAGGATGTATCCCGTTGTCCCAGGAAACGCTCGCGTGTCCGTGGAGAGCGAGATCGTGGTCGGAGATCATCTCTTCCCCAAAAACGTGAGTGTGTGTGTGTGTGTGTGTGTGTGTGTGTGTGTGTGTGTGTGTCTCTCTTTACTCTCATTGTACGCTGAACCCTGCAGACGCTGTTCCACCTGTGCCACTACGCCGTGTCCTACGACGAGAGCATCTTCCCCGACGCCCACTCCTTCCTGCCGGACCGCTGGCTGCGGGGGGGCGAGGACAAGCCCCGGCTGCACCCCTTCGGCTCGGTGCCGTTCGGCTTCGGCATCCGGGCGTGTCTGGGGAGGCGCGTGGCCGAGCTGGAGATGTACCTCCTGCTCTCCAGGGTAAGAGCGTGAAGATGTGGCTCCTCCTCGGGCTGGATTCCAATGGTCCCAACAACGTCTGACCCTCACCACCTCTCCTTGACCTCCTGTGGGGAACGCCACGGGGTCAAGGAGAGGCGGTTAGGATGGTTAATGAGGAGTTAGGAAAGGACGCTGTTTAGGGAATCGTAAGCTGATGGACGGAGACGCAGAAAGAAACTATTAAAACAAAGACACGTTTTACATATGCAATTATAAACGTCCTTCTGTATATCGTTTATCTTTTAAATGCATTTATAAATAGTGTACTGAATGTATATTCATTAAGCTGTAGAATGCACAGACATCATGTTTGAAGTAAAAGATGGAAATCATTAACTGCGGCGCCGCGGGTCAATGAACCTCCTGCCAAAGATAAGCTCCTCCTCCTCCTCCTCGTCTCCTCCTCCCACAGCTGATGCAACGCTTCGAGGTGAGGCCGGACCCGGCCGGCGCCCCGGTGAAGCCCATCACGCGGACGCTGCTCTGCCCGGCCACGCCCATCAACCTGCAGTTTGTGGACCGGCGGCCGTCGCTCTGCTAGAGGATGAGCGCATGAATGTACATAAGAACACTTTCACCCTCGACGTGTCACACAGGAGCTGTTTTCGTCTCCGGTTGCCAGGGGCGACGTCTCTCAGCCTTTTTAGTGTCCAAAGAAGCGCAGGAACCCTGCGCCCCCCCCGACCCCCGACCCCCCCGGAGTGACTAAAGGTCCTTTTAAGCAAAAACCGCTGTTCCACGCGTAGAACGCCACACGGATCAAAGAACACAACACGCGTGTTCTTCTTCTTATTGTGAATGAATCCCATTAAAAGACCAACGTGTGAATTCGACTCAGTACTTCTACACAACGTGATGAATTCAATAACAATAAAGTAGATTATAGTAAATAATCCTCTTTCTGTATAATCCTTCATCCTGGAAGAGGCTGATTTAAAGCTGAACAGGTTTGGATGAGGTTCCTCGGTAGAACGATGCCGCCCTCTAGTGGCCGTATTAACGAGGTCAACGTGTCCGCTGCTGTGTGATCGATCACACATCTGATCGCTTTATTGATTCGTTATTAATTCACTCCAATGTTTCTTCATATCTCTGATTATGTAAAGACGATGCTTGTTTTATTGTTGATTATTTATTATGAAGTATTGAAGTGGTTCAGCTGCTCAGGTATTTGCCGTATTTTGTGGTTATTTGGTGTCATGGTTGTTTTGTGTTTGAGTCCTTTTTGTGTCCTTTTAGTTGTGTCTTGTTCTGCTTGATGGGTCTCTTTGCTCCACGTGGTCTGAT